AGCGCAGCGGAGCGGGGGCCCGGGGCTCGGCAAAGCGGTGCCAAAATCCCCTTCTTTTGAAGCTAGCGGTATTTCCAGCCTCAACACATCTCCGTTTGGTCTAATGCCGGCACCGGTTTTCGAATTCAAACGGCTTTTCTGTCTCTACTCCAGACGTAGGTCAGAGTAACCGCTTCCCTAGCTTGGTCAGGCCGAGGTTTTTGTTAGTCTTCTGTGAAAAAGGTTCTTCGTTAGTCTGCGTGTAGCCTCTTGAAAATCGTTGGGTGTATCAAACAGTCTGGCCTTAAAAAAAAAAAAAAATTAAAAAAAAGTGTCACATTTGGGAAGAACGTGGCTTGAATTGTCTGAATGCCTGGAATTGGCATTGCTACTCGCCATGCTGTCTAAAGAGTATGTCCCCTCGTTCTCTGGGTGCCCAGGACTCTTAACAGCACGAGCTTGGGTTCAGGGAAGAAGTTAAAGGCTTGGGTTTTTTTCCATTTTATGATTTTACTGCCTTCTGCTGGTTGAAGATGGTCAGGCTGCCTTTAATTTTTTATAATCAGCACATGATTGTAGCAGCTGATCTGAAATTAAGCTCCAGGAGGACAGATGTCAACAGTAAATATTGCACGTATGTCATTGTATGCGTTTCCTGTGGGGAGGAGTTGTAATATATTTTTTACATAATATATTTCATGTAGTAGGAGCCATCATAAAGATGATGATCTTGGGTATTTAATCTTAACGTGTAAATAGAAGACAAGTCTTTTTTTTTTTCCAAAGATGTAGCTGCTGGCTTGAAGCTGGGAGGTGGGAGACCAGCTTTATGCTCCTCCCTGTCTGTAGGCCCGTTGCTTGACCTTTGCCAACAGCTATTCACTCCTGTGTTTCAGTTTCTTTAAAAGGGAGATTACAATACTGATCTCCTTTGGAGACTACTTGAAGTTCGACTAGTGAACATGTCTATATAGCAGCATAATAATAACACTACAGTGATAACATTTTAAAAAAAATCCTAAAGAGTGGTCGCCTGTGGTTCCTTTTTAACACTGGAAAGGAGAAGTAATCCAATCACATTTAGTTGCACGCATGCGCTATACATCTTTGTCTTCCGAGCGAAGACAAAGATTTAAAGATAAAAAACACTTACAGTTTGTACTAAATTCCTGAAATATTGTGGCCCCACAGTACTGGGTGCTCTGTCAATGCAGGAGGCAACCGGCATCCTGCCTTCAGAATTTTATGACCGATTTTAGAAATAATAGATCTTTAAAGTATCGTCTTTGGGTTTTTTTTTTTTTTCAAAAGATCAATGTGCCTGCCCATTTGTATATGGTATCTAATACTGAGAGCTGAAAAGGTAGTGTGACTTGGATTTAGCTAAATTATGAACAAAGAGTTATTCAGTTGATCAGATGAAAAGACTGTTTCCTTGCCTGAAATGAGTTGCCTGCACCTTCCTGCTCTGAAATTTAATAACCGTGTCCTGATTTGATAGGCCACACAATATGCCATCTGGATATACATTGTAAATCCCTCAGGCAGTGAGGTTATGAGAGTGAAGATATTTATTTTCTGCTTTTTTGCATCAGTCAGATCGTGCAAAACAAAGCTTTGATTACAAAATAATCACACAGGCAACCATGAATAACTACGTATCAAGAGAGAGTTTTCTTCACCTTTGTTAATCCCTATTTCTGTAGGAAATGTTTGCAGAGGGAGCAGGGGAGAACATATTGCATTTAGCAAATTTCTATCAAAAGTCACAGAGTTTACACTCTTAACCTTGCAATAGCCAAAAAGGGCCATGCAAACCATCTTTGAGCCCTGCCGGTGCTAAATTATATGGTACTAGCAAGCAAATACTTAAATTATATTTTCTAAGAACACAGATTTTTGTCTTGCATTTTGTTAGTAATACTAAGCAGGTAACACAAACAGGCAAAGCCAAGAATATTAAGTCAGGGAAGATACTCTTGGCTGAATGGGTCTTACAGAGATACCACAGTTGCACAACATTTACCTAGCAATGCAAATACTGCAGAATGATCAGATAATAATGACAGATAATATTGAATATTATTGAAGATAACAAGAAAATAATGACAAGATAATAATTGTTGGGGAGTCTGGGGAATGAAGCTTCTACTGCGTATCTGCCACTAGCTCATTGGATGGCCTTTGGCAAGTTATCTCAGCATTTGCATCTACCATTCATCGATAATCTGCAATATATTTAGAAAAGCCCATTAAACATTTGGCCAACAGTATATGCTTTTTAAAACATCCGTTTGTTGTGCAAACAGAGAAGACCTTGGGTCAAGGAGTTACAGAGAAGGGAATTCTTCCTTGTGTATTTTTAGTTTGATTTCCTAGAGAAGTAAACCATCTGTGATCTGCTTCCCTCTGGAAAGTCTTGAAACCACTCTGCAATTTAATCGAGTTTGCAGAGCATCAGAGATAGCGGAATGCAGGCTTTACTAATTCTGCTAATTCTGCTGCTCATAGAGCTACTTGTTAAAATAGATACGCCAAGATATACGCATTTAAGAACAAAAAAAAAACCCCAGATTTGTTTGTAGGATTGTTTGCACTTACTAACACAGCTGTTGGGAATGGAATGGTTAGATAAATGGTAGTGATACAGAGTTTTATAAAAGATGAGTAGCATTATTGATTAAAACCTAACAGCTGTGATGAGTATTTTGTCTCTGAGGCAAACCCATTACTCCAGAATGTCATGAGTTTCCCAAAGAAGTTGGGATCTTGAAGGTTAGCAGTCAATGCATGCGCATAGTAAAGCCACAAAGAAGCATGTGCGTTTGAGGGATCGTTTCGGGGAGGAAAGGATTCTCCTAAATTGCTTTTTGAAATGTGCTCAGCTGCATGCACAGACTATGACGGTGACTATGCTCTCTGCTACGTGTGGCCCCAAGATCCTTTTCCAGGCTAGACTCACATATCTCCCAGACAGCAAATCTGCTCAAATGTGCCTGGTGTGTCAATCTGTCTGTGGAAGCAATTGTGGCAGTAATCCATGCACCGACCTTGAAGCAGTAATGCAGGTTGAAAAGGCAAGACAGCGAGCATACCCCCTCCAGAGGCTGCTGTTGAGGTGTTTGCCTCCACTGATCTAGCCAGCATGCTTCTGCTTGCCCTGCTCACTCTGTCCAAGAAGATACCAAGGTTTTCTAACCGCCCTTCTTTCTTTTTTTTAATCATTTTTCTTATCCCAGGTTTAGGCTAGGAAAAAGTAGGCTCTAATCGGATACCGTAAGAATCTGTGCCAAGACTACCCTTAATTTAAGATCTTGGTTAAAAATTTGGAAGAGGAAATAAAGAGTACATTAGTGGTATTTACAGATAGCATTACATTGGGAGAGACTGAAGCAGTATTTGGGGTAGAAACATAAACAGTAACTGAAAACGATAAACATGAGCAGAAATCAGTGAAAGTTCAGTTAGGAAGACTGAGAGTCTGTGTATGAGGAGATTTAATTTAAGAACTGATGTATCAGAATGAAGAAATCTGGAAGTAATGCTGAGAGACAAAGAGTAAAGGCAAAAGCAAAGCAGACATCATACACTGCCATGTGAAGACAGCTGCAGAAAGGCCAGCGCATTCGAGGATTCAAGTTCCCGTTTCTCCTTTCCAAGGAGCTTTTCCTGCAGTAGAAGCATGAGTCTGGCCACTCTTCCTACCCAGTGCCTGCTGGTGTCCCCAGCTGTTCCACCTACAACAGTGGAGAAGAGTCAAAAGAAAGGGAGGAACTCCCCACTGCCGCAGCTTCGTCATCTTTGAGAACCTGCATCTGGAACGACAGTGCCTCTCCCCGAGGGAGGAAGCCTGATCCTCTTGTGGGCCGGGTTCACAGCCTGGGAAATTCTGCTCTAGACAGAAGACTGTTCTACACATAGCTGTTTTGCTTCATGCAGTAGCTGATACGGTTTGAGTCAATACCAGAAATACAAAGTCTCTCCCTTCCTTGCTGTGTGGATGCCTTGTGATCTTCTGATACCTGGGATGAAGAACACGATTCCCCCTAAAACTGATCTTTGAAGCGCTCAGGGCACCGTGGTTCTGCTTCCAGCTCTGCTGTCGTTACCTTTGCTATGCCTGACTTCAGCCATCTCTAAAAGAAATAACATAGCTGTGAGGGATGTAGTGAAGCCTGCAGGCATTCAGATTTGCTCTGTTATGCTTAGTTTCTCATTCGCCCAGGAGAAGGACACTCTCAGCACTAGCCAAACAAGGCTGCTCCTTCTTGCTCTAAGAGCATTAGCATCTTTGCTCTTACCATACGTGTCTTGAAAAGATAATTATGCCTGCGTAGTTCATATTACCCAAGGGGAGGCCCTTAACTTGGAAGAAATTACTTGCATGAGAGAGGCAGAGATTTGGCCCCTACTGAATTTAACACGTTTCACCTAGCTGCCAGTAGATGGCTCTCTTAATTTACAGTCCCATATTTACTTCATTGTTTATTGAGTTAAGCTGCATGCACTTTCAGTGGAAGCACATTTTCAATGTGCTTGATTGCTTTGAGGAAGTTTACGTAAGAAGAACAAGGAAGCAATGGACTGAATAAATAGATTACTGAGAAACAAGACCCAAGATTAGTTCACTTTTTGTAGAATGTTTTGTGGGTACAATCCAAAAGATTTTTCTTGTGCAGGACCTAACCTTAGAATTATCAGGCTCAACGATTTATAGCTGTATTCCCAGGATGCATTTATCAAATTTGATTATAACTAAGTAAAAATTCATTCTTAAAAGCATTTTAGTCACTTATTTTAAAGAGTGCATGTGGTTTATGGACAGGTGCCTTGGTGACTAGATTGAAGTGTTTCTTCATTCACACCCCTTCAGTGTGAGAGAGAGGAGAGCGGATGCTGTTTCACAGGTACATGCATGCTAACAGAGCATTGTGTCTAGGCTATGAACTTTTGGATAGGTAGCTGCTCAGCATAAATACTGCTCACAGATGTAGACTCAACTGTTCATTCCTTGCCTTTTTGTTACAAGGTTTATCTGAAAAGATTAAATGGTCACTTTCACCATGACAGTCCGTGTTTTGATGAATTTCTGGGCTTTTCCCCCAGCCTCCATATCAGCAAAGTAGCTAAAAAGGAAATGCAAGAGCTATGATGGAGAGCCATCAGCTCTGACAGTGTTC